ACACTAGTTTGTGCTGCACATCGATAGTGAGGTCAGGTGAGAGATAGCTTATGACCGGATTCCGCGCAAACGTCTGTGGTCATGCCTGAGAGCATACGGGATAGATGGCCAGCTACAAAGGGCCATCCAATCACTGTATTCTGATAGCAGGTGCTGCGTCAGAGTAACTAGCGTTAAGCCGAAGCCTTTAAACGTTGGTAATGGTCTCCGCCAAGGCTGCGTCTTGTCCCTTCTCCCGCTTGCGTTGTACGTGGACAGAATAGTCAGGAGCAGCTAAGGCGATGAGTGTATCGGTGTAGGAAATGTGGAGACGAGAAGGTTGCTGTTTGCAGACGACTTTCTCTTATTGACATGTTCTGAAAATGATCTATAGCGCTCGCAGGAAAGGGGTCCGCAACCGAGTGCGACAAGGCTTGGTCGGCATGCATGCAAACGTATCTAAAATAAAAAACCTAGTTTTCTTGTTCTCATGCCCATTGCTCTCTTCAGATAAACTGAGCAACATTGGAGCGGGTGTACAGTAATAAGTCTGGACCGTGACAAAAAACTTCGATACAGGGTACCAGCGGGTGAAATCCGCTTTCTGAGACGAACTGCTGGCTTTACACGTCTCGACATGGTCCGTAGTACAGAAATAAGCAAAAGCCTTGGTGTACAGACGCTGCTACTTCAGAGAGAAAAATCAAAGCCGCGAAAATTTGGGTACGTGTTGCGAATTCCTGCAGAAAGGAATATGATACAAATTCTGCTTGCCTAGCCGACTCTCAGAAGGCCCAAGGGAAGATCAAGATTAACCTGGTGCAAATATATGGAAGGATTCAGTTCCAGACTCCAGCTATCTTCTGCCGAAGCACGGACTCTGGCACAGGATCGGGAATGTTGAAAGCTGTGCCTGACGCGTCTTCTCGGCGACCCGAAAGGAGAAGCGGTTATGGAAAACGAAGTCCCGGAAAACACTCAATGCCGTCAATACAGAGAAAAATCAATCAGCGTTTAGGTCATAATATCAAGAATATGGAGAAGGAAGATTCTGCGCTATCAAATCCATGCCGACCATAATGCGGAAGCGAGCAGAATCTCTTCATAGCAAACTTCAAGAACTAATGAAGTAACCAATAAAGTTAAAAACACAGCCCTAACTTGTATTCACTCCACTTTTTGGTGTTCAATATAAAAACAAAATTAGGCCGCTGAAACATTTTTGGTGGCGAACAAAACGGCGATGCGCAAACAATGGGAGATACGTCTACGCGCTGCAAGTACTACGATACCATGTAAAAACTCCTATTTCAATGTCCTCTGGGCATATCTGAACAAGCAGCGATGTCATAACGCCACGAAACTTGATGCAATGAAATGGAATTGCATGTATTCTGTTAGAAAAACCTGCAGGAGCAATATATTGTGAATGCTAAACCCACCGGCTCCGCGATTTTGTTTTAGAAAAGCCAAAATTGCACTCCCAAGCGAAATATACGAGATGGTCGATGTCACCAATAATACCATTAATTAAACTAACCAACAGTATGAGCGAAAAGAGTCGAAAGTGAAGTAACAGGTAGCATGAAATGATGGGGAAGTAAAAAGGGATAGCACAATTCACTTAATATCGCGCAGACGATCGGTTCATGAAATGTTTATCCAGAAGCGAAAAATAAATGTCCAACATGAAAACAAGAACATTGATATCATCGAAAAGTGGCCTTAAAAACTGTTCGAACGGCAGAACACTAGAGAGTTAATTACAGCTTGACTTTTATGCTTCGAAAGTCTTGATGACAATGAAAACTCGGGAAAAAATGTTAGGAGAGGATGCCTGTAAATGAATAGGGTTTAACGTGAACAAATGAATGATGCATATTTCAAAAAAAAGCAACTGATTATGGAGAAGATCAGGCAACTTCAATAGGGGTTAAATTGTGTGATCACAAGCAAGCAAGCAAGAATTTTACTAAACGCAAAAACTGACAGAGTCGGCAAATGGTATTATGACCGACTGCTTTGTGGTTACAAGAAGGGCGTTTCATCTACAATTGTTACCAAACATCTTACGTAATACTA